TAGACCTCCACAAAAGTCTTTATAAAGGGTCAAGATAATTTCAATACATGTATAAAACAAATACATGAGATATATTTGGATTATTTCTTTAAAATGATCCAACAGTAAATCCCCTTGTGTGAACAGGACTGTGAACACGTAGATAATTGGTGACACCTCCTTGAGCAGCAGCGATGCCAACTAGACATTTTCTGTAATTATTTGACACTGTATCAGCTTTTAGGATTTGTGTCTCATTCTTCCTTACAGTCGGTGATTGCTGCATGTCCTGCCATACGTTTCAGTGGGGTCTGATTTGTAGATCTGTTTGCACTGTACTGTATTTTTAGGATTGTTGTCTTGCAGCATGACCCACTTACGGCTCAGCCACAGCTGACAAAATGATAGTCTGACATTCTGTTCCAGGGTTTGCTGATACAACACCACATTTTTCATTCCATCAGTGATGTACTGTATATGGAGTGTTGTACATTTTGTTGTCAGCATGTTTTAAGCAGTGAAGACAGGGTTAAATACTATACAGAAAGAAAAACATGGGTGAAGGTGTCTGCATGCATTTTAGTCAACTAAAATGTGTGAAGACTTGCAGGAACTTTTGGCAAGGAATATTGTCTATTAGTGATTTCATATTGTATCTCATTTAAAGTTTCTTTAACATGTTTGTGCTACTATGGTTTTCCTTTGACATTTCAGTGTAAAAAGTGAAGTGCAAATAAAATGTCACAAGTTTTAATTACTTAGAGCAATTTAGTATTCCCCTCTACAATGGTGTGCAGCTGAGTGCCTTTCACTTGTATGTATGTCTGTGAGTTCAGCCAACAAACTAATAATGATAAGTAATACTTCATAAGTACTAAAACAGTAAGATGAAAACAGTACTTTCTTTGTACTGATATGAAAATCAAGGTCAGACCATTTCACCTGATGTTTATTTTGTTGCTGGTTAAATAATACGTCCTATACTACATCAGAGGGGATTGAGTGGGGAGCTGTGTCAGGTGTAAACAAATGTGACACACCTGTAAAAACTCAACAGTCAAAGCTCTGTGTTCCTTCTTCCTACTTCCCACGTAATTCATTGTGCAAATAGCCTTTACGTGCTCATTTCTACACCCAGCACATTCTAACACAGCCAGAGGTT